TATGAAATCAACTGCAAGGGACTGTGGCCATCAGCTGGTGAAACGAGCAACTGCAGCTGGCAAGTGCTGCAAGGCAAGCAGTGTCACTCCGGCGCCCGCTGCAGAGTGAAATAATGCTTTGGATCCAGAAATGAAAGCTCAAGCTACTTCAAAAATCAGTAACAGGGTAACTGAAGCAAGGAAGAATTATCCTGGGGCAGGTAGTCACTTTTCTCTTGTTAACATCAGCAACTTTTCTAACCTTTGACACAGCTCTCAATTTTTTGCAGATTTCACAACATTCTATTTAATGCTGTTTAGTGAACTAAAAAGCCATAAACCCATGCTCCCTCCATCCTGTGGAAGTTTCATGTGAGTAAAAAAAATGCTTCTATCACTTCTCCCAAGCTTTCCAGCTTCCTTCAAGCCATGCTAACTAATTCTACTGGACCTTCCTTCAGTTATGACAGAACAGCACTGTAATCACCTTATGCACCACCTGACATTGCAAGCAAAGCAAAGCATCCCTACAGAGCAAAGCATCCCTATAGATCCTTCCAAATCAGCAGTTTTATCTCAACAGCTGCCAGTGTTCAGCACAGCTGCTGTCTTCCATTCCAAATAATGGAATTATATAATGCAGTCTTCCATTTTACACCATGCCCATGTGAGTGCTGTTTCTCACAGGACAGGACAAGAGGAGTAAGGCCATCTTCTCAACCTAAAGCTTTTCCAGCAATGCATGTAGAACTCTTTTTTCTCCTATTCCTCCTCTTTCACACACCAAACCTAACTCCATTCTGTCAGCCATCCCAAACAGACAATGCTACCAACAAGACCTGGCCCAGTCAAGACACTTCACCTACCTTTAGGAGGTGCTGGCTGGATGTTAACAACTGGCTGATTCTTTGGCAGTGGCACAAGCGTGGGAAGAGTCTGAATAATGATGGTTTTAGCTGGGATGCCAATGTTAGCCTGAGCTTCAGGCACAGCAGGCAAAAGGGGTTTGGGTTGTATCAAAGGCCTGGACACTGTCTGACCACACTTCTTCAGGCTCTTCGCAGAATTATTTGCTAGAAAAGGAAAGAGTCAGAACTGGACCAAGAGGTATAAAATACGTAATTCAAGCAATAATGAAGTAGATTTTAATATGGGGTTTTTTATCTGTCTATAATATTTGTTGAAAATAAACATATCTGATCAAATATCCAAGTCATAAATGATAGGACATCTAGTGTCTGTTAATTAATAGCATTAATTTGGATGCAAGACAACACGCATATTATCTATAGGATAAAAGTAACTTTTTCTCTCATACCAGATCGAGAAGAGATGCTCACAGCAGGCTTCTTCCCTCCATCTCCTTCAGGGGATGCAGGGCTTCTGCAGCTCTTGCTGTAGAGAGAGATGGGAGACATCTGGGAGCTACAGCTGAAGTCCACATCATCCTGCAGACAGAAAGTACAGGAGATTAACACTTCAGAAACTTAGAGCAGTATCTACCAGCAGTTCAGATTTCTGCTTCTCATCACATCTGTGTTGCTGCTGCAGCCAACAGGAGAAAGGTTTTACTCTGCAATTTGATGCTGGCCAATGCCAAGTGCCACTAAAAAAAAACCCCAACAAGTACTTGTCCCCATCAGCAGAGCAATGGGAGGCATAGACCAACCTGCTAGACCCAGAAGCCTTTAGAAGACATTTTGTTTGGCAACAAAGCTAATGAACATAGCTGAGGAAAGAGAGCTGAACATGTTCTTATTTGAATGGGTCACAAAGAGATAAGAAAACACCACTGATGGGTTTTTGCAAGGGTTGAGAAAATAAGCTGTTTCCTCTTATGCCATGAATTTGGTCAGAGGAGTAAATCACAGGGCTTTTGTTCTGTCAGAGCTGTTGCTGTGTTACATGGGGGGTTTCGCATACAGGCACATTCTGCACTGGAGAGTCCACAGACGGTGGTGAAGGGACCGAATAGCTGGAAGTGGCTGGTGATAAAGGTTCTGTCTTCACATTCGCATCTGCAAGAGGCAGGTAAAGACATTTCACTGCACAGGTTTGTAGCAATGGGAAGAGTAGAGAACACACTGTCCTACACCAGATATTTAATTCCCAAAGCAAGGCATAGCAGAAAATGTAGGGAGATTTAAGCTATTATACAGCTTGGCTCGTAGGGCAGCCCTTGCCAGCTGCACCCATCCCTTACAGAAAGACAGCCAAATTCCCATCACAGAGCAAAAGGCTGTAGGGCATCAAACAGTTCCACATGAGTTTTAAGAGCTCAACCTTGTGGGGCAGGAGGGGAAGAGCAACAGCTGCAAAATATAGGAGGTTAATTACCTGCATAAGCATGGCCTGTAATATTCCAAAGGTCCGAGTCCCAAGACATCAAATCCAAATCAAAATGAAAGTTATAGAGATCATTTTCCTGAAATGAAAGTTCAGAAAAAAAGACAAGACAAAAAGAAAGATGTTTTGACACCATCAGCCATTATGTTCACATTCTTACAGCTCCAGAAAACAAAACAAACAGCATAACTATCAATAACTTCAGGTGCCTTAAACGTATGCAGAGATGAAAGTCCTTAAAGGAGAAATTCTCAACTGATACACACAAAACAAGACTTCTTTTAAACTTACACCAGTAGGAAGGGGCAGGTCAGTTTAAGATCATCACTAATTATCGTACTCTTCTTTGTAATTTGCAAAGCAAAAGTTCTAAGTTCATTGAACCATCTCACAAAAAATACAAGTCTTAGGAACCTGGTGCCAGCCTTTCCTTCATCTACCTTGAAAAATTTCTTTAATGCTCTTCCACCATTACATCTCAAAGCACTTTACAAACAAAAGCAGCACAAGGACAGTAGCAGGAAAACAGACACAAGATTGATTTGCCCAAGACCTGATTAACGGTATGTGTTAGGTCTCCCTATACTTGAACACAGTGATGTCAACATCTAAAGCCAAGGACATCAGTTTCCTTTTCCAACAAAAATCAAAACAGGCTAAAATCACTCCACACATATTATCATACGACCTTTAAAACAACAACTGGCATTTTTATCCATTTATCCTGCTTGAGCATCTCTAAGTCTCAGTTTCCTACACAAATGTGGCCCTTAATGAGCACTTGCATGAAAAATACAAACATGACCTACCCAGCTCATACAAATATACAACAAAGATTTTCCTGAAAACCATACTGCAATCATACCTTCCCTTATACTCTCAACTTGCCCTGTGAAGGGAGGCTCAAAAAGCCTGCAAACTGCATGGATAATGGTACTTGCAATCAGAACAAAAAGAAAGCTCATCAGAGCACATTTAAAGGAAGAATGACCAAAAAACCACAATGTGAGCTGTGCATGAAGAGCCCTCACCCAAGCAAGTAAGGCTGACCTGCTAACGAGGAATACCTTTCCCTTGTACAATCAGTCTGTTCCCACATTTTCTCCAGTGACTGGTTCTACACATGTAGGAATGCTCTTAGGACATGGGGTTTACATGAGATGATAACCCAGGCTCGTGCTGGAGGTGGACTGGGACACAGCGAGCAGAGACACGGCTGGGGAAGAACATGGAGAGGAGAATCCACGAGGTAAATGCCCCGCAGTATGGACAAGTGGGCAGTGAAAACAACAGGGATTAATGCAGAAGGTTGCAAGCAAAGGTTTTTTGAGAAAATCCTACATTAAAGAAGAAATCAATAAGTAATTCAATAAGCAAAGGGATAAAGAATAGTCCGGGTGGATGGCGGTGTAACACACCCACCGTTCTCTCAGGTAGCCCTGAGCCAGCGCTGCCCCAGCACTGCCCTGCGGGGTTCACCTTCACCGAGGCAGTGACAACGCCACTCCTCCTCGTCGGCGCCTCGCACCCTCACCCCAGCCTCCCTCCCTGGCACCCTCCGCTCCGCAGCCGTGCCCCGCAGTGCTTCAGCCATCGCTATCTCCAGCGCTGACGCGGAGTGCAGGCCGGGCGGCCACGTTCTCCTGCCAGGCTGCTTCGAGGCCCCCCGAGCCGGGCAGGGGCTCTCACCGTCGGCAGAGCGCGGACCCGGCCCCCGCCATCCCCGGTACTCACGTCGGGCTCGTCCTTCGGGGCCGCGGCGCCCAGCAGCTCGCTCAGCTCCTCGCCCAGCACAGCCTCTGCGGAGAGAAAACGGGCTCAGCGCCGGCCCGGCCCGGCTCCGCCGGAGAGCTTCGTGCCGTGCCGGCCCGGCCCCGGCCCCCGGAATCGCGCTCACCCCAGTCCAAGCCGCCCCCCGGGGCGGGCAGCAGCCCCGCCGGCTCCCACTCGGCCTCGGCCGCCGCCATCGCTTCCCGTTCCTCCCGAAACACACGTCTGCTTCCGGCTGGGCCGGGCCCGCCCGCCACGGCGGCCGCCGGCGGACAATCGGCGGGCGGGCGGAGGCAGCGCGGCCTCGCTCGGTCAGTGTCCGCGCTCCGAGCTCCGCAGAGAATCACAGCTTCAGCTGGGTTGGGAAAGGGCTCTGAGATCAGCGAGTCCAGCCCATGAGCCAGCACCACCTTGTCACCCAGACCATGGCACTGAGGGCCGTGTCCAGCCCTCAAACACCTCCAGGGGCGGTGACTCCACCACTGCCAGGGCAGCCCCTTCCAGTGTCCAGTCACCCTTTCTGTGTAGAAATTCCTGTGAATGTCCAACCTGAACATCCCCTGGCACAGCTTAAGGCTGTGTCCTCTTGGCCTCTCAAAAATAACCTGGGAGAAGAGGCCAAACCCGCCCTGGTTACCAGGCTAAACAACCCCAGCTCTCTCAGCTGCTCCTCATCAGACTTGTGCTGCAGCTCCTTCACCAGCCTCTCTGGACACACTCCAACACTTCAACGTCCTTCCTGAACCGAGGGGCCCCGAACCAGACACAGCGCTCCAGAAGTGGCCTCACCAGTGCCAAGTGCAGGGGAAGAATCACTTCCCTAGTTGTGTTGGCTACATTATTTAATGAAAACTTCCCCCCCGCCCCAGGCACATAGGAGGCATTAGTTAGACAAAGGTGTTTATTCAGACCCCGATGACACAAGCTCATTGATGAAAGCACGAGTGGAGCAGCTATCGGGGAATGTCCCAATTCCCAGGGGGAGAATGTCCAAGGGCTGGGTGGCAGGCTGCCCCCAGCACGTGGCTCTTGGCCCATGGTGGGTCTCCAGCTGCCTGCACTGGAAGCAGCTCCCCTTCCCAGGGGAATGCTATACACGCAGCATGGTGGCAGTGTGCAGGGGCAGCTGTGGTCCAGGCTACAACCACAGGCATGGAGTCCCTCTGTGCTCCTGCAGCAGCTCCTGCTGGGCCTGCAGCCTTGGGGGTTTCAGTCTCAGGCAGGCTGGAAGCACTGGAGAGATGGAGCTGGTGTCACCCACTTCAGTCCCAAGGGGTGTCCCCACCCAGGAGATGGCCACCCAGGTGAGTTTTGAACAGGGTGCTGCGAGGCTCTTGCCGCCCTCACCTCACAGGTTGGCATCGTATGCTGCATTGGTGAAAGTTCCCGGTGCTCCCAGGTCACTGGAAGGCAAACACAAGGATGTCACCTTGGGGAGTGCAGGAGTGTGTGAAGGCCAGGGGTTAAGCACAGCCCTGTCAGCCCTAGAGATGCTCCCGTAAAAAACCAGCCTCACACAGGCAGATCTGGGTGTCAGCAGGGTGGACATAGGGCTGTGACAATCACAAAGCAGAGCCACCCTCCTGCACAGCACATCTCTCACCTTGTGGGTTTCAGGAGCTTCTTCTTCTCCTCTGAAAACAGTGTTGAAATGTCCATGGCGATAAAGCACATAGAAAAGAAATAACCAGATCTGTTTAGTGAAGGTCACAAGAAGCTGCAGCAGCAGCATCTGAAATTGAGTGGAGTTTAACAGGCATGAGGTGGAGCTGCCTTAACAAGCATTTGCTGCCTTCTTCAGAGTGATGATGTTTATCTGGCTCTGCCCTCTAAACCTGGCTGCTGACATTTTCAGCTGGGCCAACTGCCAAGGACCCAAGCAACTCGGCAAATAAAACATGTAAATGGAGGCAGTCACACTGTTAAACTCTTCTGATCACCTCAGCCTCCCCTGGGACTTTCACCACCTTGCCTGAGAGCCCTGGCCAAAGTTAGGGTGGGCTGCAGGAAGCATTTCTGTACCTCTGTCACTGAGCCTCTTCGCAAGAAGGGCAATGAGCCCCCCAGAGAGCACAAGACCAGCTACTGCCAGGGCTGTGCCACTGCTGTAAGCCAGGACTTGCTTTAGGAAGGCACTGTCCTCTGAAAAAAAGCCACAGAGCCACGCATTAGAAAGTTGTCACTTCACAGCCCTTGGGGAGAACCCCTGCACCACATTCAAGATGTGCTTGGAGGAAAGCTGGAAGCACTGCAGTGCTAGAGGAGCTGGGGGGTCCTGCTGTACCTGCACAGACAGGGGGATCCCTGGTCCAGTTCCCCATGGCCTCACAGCGGAGCATCTCTGCTCCCATCCGAACAAACCCCTCCTCGCAGGAAAAGGTGCACGTGGAGTTGTAGGTGAAGTTCCCATGCACATGAGAGCAGCTCAGCTGTCCTCTGCTGGGGGGGGACAGCACTGGGCAGCTGATGGCTGCAGATAAAGCACAGCAGGAGCATCAAGAGGACAGGACTGATAGCAGTGAGATGGGAACATGTGGGCTGGCAAGCCAGGGGATGAACTGACATAGTCCAGGGTGCTGGGGAGAGCACTCTGCTACAACAGAGCCCTCCCAGACATGTGTGAGATCACAGGATTTTTACCTTTGCAATGTGTGGGGTCCCCAGTCCAGGTCCCCAGGGCTGTGCACTCACGGCTCTCTGGCCCCATCAGCACAAACCCCTTCTGGCAGGAGAAGGCACACGTGGAGCCAAAGGTGAAGTTGCCATGGAGATGGAAGCAGGCAGCCTGGCCCATGTTGGGGGCAGTCAGTGCTGAGCATTTGATGGCTGCAAGGGTAAAGAGGCACAGCTCAGAAAGGAGCCTGGGAGACTGTACTGTTGGGACCAAGGGGCTGGGGACACATCACAGAGTAACCCCACATAGTGACACCCTGCGCTGTGGCAGTAGCTCTACCTTCACAGCGTGGGGCATCCCCTGTCCATGTCCCCGTGGCTGTGCACTTGTGACTGTCTGACCCCTTCAGCACAAACCCCTTCTGGCAGGAGAAGGCACACGTGGAGCCAAAGGTGAAGTTGCCATGGAGACGGGAGCAGTTCAGCTCTCCCTAGTCTGGAGCTCTGAGCACTGGACAGGCAATGGCTGCAAGGACAGAGAAACATTTTCAAGCTGAAAAGTGGATACTACAAGGCTAGACTGTTGAAAGACCAGGACCAAGAGGGTCCTCTAGCAAACCTCCCATGCTCACAAAAGGCTTGTGACACCTTGAGCAGCAGCAATACCTTCACAGTGTGGTGTGTCCCCAGTCCAGGTCCCCAAGGCTGTGCACTCAAAGCTCTGCAGCCCCACCAAGGCAAATCCTGTCTGGCAGGAGAAGGCACACATGGATCCATAGGTGAAGTTGCCATGGAGGTGAGAGCAGTGCATCTCTCCCTGGTCAGGTGCACTGAGCACTGGACAGGTGATGGCTGCAGGGCAAAAAAGCACACTTCAGGCAGCAGCTTGGGGACTATGAGGCTGAATTCTTGTGATGAGAGAACTAAAAAGAGAACAAACATCCAAGAGTCTGCCCAAGACCTGTGACACCTTGAGCAGCAGCTCTACCTTCACAGCGTGGGGCATCCCCTGTCCATGTCCCCGTGGCTGTGCACTCACTGCTCTCCGGCCCCATCAGCACAAACCCCTTCTGGCAGGAGAAGGCACACGTGGAGCCAAAGGTGAAGTTGCCGTGGAGGTGGGAGCAGTTCATCTCTCCTTTTTCTGGAGCACTGAGCACTGGACAGGCAATGGCTGCAGGGACACAGAAACAATTCAAGGAAGAGGCTGGGAACTACAAGGCTAAACTGTTTTGTCTGAGAGACTGGGGAAACCCTAGAGTCACCCCACAGGCAGTGGCACCCTAAGTTCTAGCAGCAGCTCTACCTTCACAGCTTGAGGCATTCCCTGTCCAGATCCCTGTGGCTGTGCACTCACGGCTCTCCGGCCCCATCAGCACAAACCCGTTCTGGCAGGAGAAGGCACACGTGGAGCCAAAGGTGAAGTTGCCATGGAGGTGGGAGCAGTTCAGCTCTCCCTGGTCTGGAGCTCTGAGCACCGGACAGGTGATGGCTACAATGGGAGAGCAGAGCTCAGAGATGGGATAAATGAGGTTAAATCTAATAATTCAGGCTGAATCCAAGTCAAATCTCACCCATACTCATCTCTTCAAAACTGTAGTTGGTGCAATGATTTTTCTGCCCTACAAGTGATTTCCTCATGGAGACACAGTTGCTGCTCTGCCAGAGCCCTGTTTATCCCTTTCACTACCCTGGACCAAAGCCCCTGCGAGGAAGGACCACAGCTCCCATTCATCTCCCTCCTTTTACTGGAGCAGAGACCAGCCTCTGTCCTTGTCACAGTGGCAGGAGGATGGCTTTGGGACTATAAAGCACTGCAATGGCTAAAGAGGTTGTGTACCTGCCTCCCCTGCCTGTTTCCAGGGTGTGTTTTTCTGCATGCCAGGGTGATACCCAAGGTTTTCTGGGGTGAGTGGCTCTGCTGCCTGCGGGAGCACCAAAGGTCAGTGCCAGCAGGGCACTACCACCACCCAGCCCAGCTGAGACAGACTGCATTCGCTGCATCTTCTGCTCTCAAACTGACACCAAGCACTTTCCTGGGGAGACTTGTCCTTTCATAGCTATTTTACAGGCAATTCTGGTTTTCCAGTCTCCAGAGGTGCCTGTTGGTGAACATGCTGTGTGGGTGGGAGCAGCTGACCCAGCCCCTTTGGGGGGCAGCCAGCAATGGGCACACAATGGCTGCAGGCAGGCACGGGGCAGAGTTTGAGGCAGGGCAGGCAGCCTTGCCCTGCACAGTCCTTGCTGCACCACCAGCCTTGCTTGCAGCCTTGCTCTGCTCATTTCTGGAGTAAGCCCAGCTGGCAACGCTTGCTAACACCATTTTGTTATCAGCACAGGACACCAACTGGCTCATCTGATTGTTTGTAATAAAACAAAAAAAATCAATCATATTACAGCCAGCAGGAAAAAAACAACAAGCTGGGAAAGCAAGCCCCTGGGAGCCTGAAAAGTCTGGAGCACACAGGCTCAGCCCAGCTTGTCTGTGGGGATTTTTGCAAAATTGGGAGCCATTTCCTGCCCTTGCCCCTGCTGGGGATACTGGTTACAGAACAGTCACATCACATCTCCATGCTTGTTCCCCTTAACTGCAGACAGTTTTGCTGGTCTCAGCTACCTAAGATCCTGGCTTGGACCACAGGCACAACCTGCACAGGCAGCAGCAGCACCACCACTAACTTCAAGGCAGGCTTCTTTTAAAAGGAATATACATATACAAATTTCTTCCCACTCCCACTCCTTCCCAGTCCCAGTTTTGTCCCATGTCTGCTCAAGTAACCCCATCCTTGTGCAAGGCTGCAGGTGTACCACACAGGTGGAGGAAAGGTGGAGCAAGGCTCTTGCACCCCCAAAAAAGCCTGGCAGTTCTCTGGGATGCCTGGTGCCTAGCTGCAAACCCTCAAGCCACTGACAGGAAGATTTTCTCCTGCAGCATAACATACCACAGCTTTCTCTCCTTTGTGGTTTCCTGCCACACTCTGTCCCACCCAGCTTGTATCTAACCTCATTTCATGACTCCTTATCCCTGTCCAAGGTGGCCCACCCCTGCCAGGATACACTCTTCCCCTGGCTGTGGGACAGCAGCCCCTCTTTTCTCTTTCCCAAGATGCCAAATGCCTTCCCAAGGCAGATCAGGGTGGGCTAGGGGAGAGAGACACTGCCACAGAGTTGACAGAGGAGCCAGAACACCATCCTGACCCCACATTTGATGCACACAGGGTGCTGATATCTGAATGCAATTCAGTGCAGTAAGCATGGGCACTGGGACAGCCAGACAGAACAGGGCCTCACAGCTCACAGCTGCTCTGCCCATTGCAGCCTCCTCAGGGAATCCCACCCCACGTGCAGCACCAGGAGATGCTTCCACAATAGGTAAGGGCACAGCAACACTTGTCTGCACAGGGCTGATTCCCCTAAAGCATCAATGCTGCACCCCTGAGAGCCCCAGCCCCTGCCAGGCCCTACCTGTGCAGGTGGGGATGTTTGCTGACCACTCCTGGGAAGGCAGGCATCGCAGCACGCCCGCCCCTCGCCGCTCAAACCCCTCGTGGCACCCGAACTCACAGGTGGAGTTGTAGCTGAAGTCTCCGTAGGGATGGCTGCAGTTCATGGGCACTCCCTTGGGCTCCAGCTTGGCACACTGCACAACTGGGAAAGATACGGTGCCACAGCCCATCAGGAGCACCAGAACTCTGCTTTGTCACCAGGGTTTGGACTCTGCAGGAGGGAGGAAGGGGTGGGGATGGATGTCTCACCATCCGTGCACTCAGGGCCGTGGAAGCCGGGGTAGCACTCGCAGTGGTAGCTCCCAATGGTCTCCACGCACTCACCATGCTGGCTGCACGGGAAGGGCTGGCAGGAGGCTGCACGCACAGGGGACAGTCATCAGGAGCTGCTGACCACCCTGCCGAGGTCCCCAGCCCACCCAATCCAGCTCTGGTCCGCAGTCCCCCTGCTCACCCTGGTAGCACAGCGCCTTCTTCTTCCGGTTGCAGGGTTCGTCATTCCACTTGCCGGACTGCTCCGGCCGCTGGATGTAGATCTCCACACAGTCCTGGTTGGAGCGGCGGTTGTTGGGCTCCCCCACTGCCCAGTTCTCTGCCTCCTTGGACAGCACCTTCCCCGTGCCCACCCAGGTCCAGATGCCGCCCAGCTTGCGGATGCCAATCCAGTAGTAGCGCCCGTGGTAGGGCAGGCTCTTGTTGAGGTACTCGATCTCCTGCTGGTTCTGGATTGCCACCAGGTCGGTAAAGAAGGTCTGGCAGAAATTCCTGGCCTGCTCCCACGTGTAGTCCCCTTGGTCACTGTAGTGGTAAGTCCAGGCACCCACCTCCACCCACAGCACCATGCCTGTGAAAGAGGATGAGGTCTGGGATTGATGCAGAAAGGATGAGAGCTGGGTCAGGGGTGGGATCCCTTGGGACATGAGAGTGGGCTAAGCCTGACATCACGGCCAAGAGATGCCAGGGATGGGCTGAGTGAAAGGATTGGATGAAGGGATGAGTGTGGATGAGAATGGGACTCCATGGGTACACAAAGATGTGGGTGGGTCAGTGTCATGGTTTGACCCGGAAGTAAGGTTTTGGGAAGTTATGGTCAAACCAATCAGTGGCCAAATTTTAGATTGGCACCTGGTGTGGCCACTGGGGATGTGGATATGCCTCTGAGAACACACAGGGGTAAAAGCAGAGCACTCCCAGAGAGACTCTCTGAAAGCATTCTTAAAAAACCTAAGGAGTAGTTTGGATCCATGGACAGTGGTGAGAGCACTGGACATGGAAGGGAGACGGTCACCATGGCAGATTTCTCTTCGAGCAGCTGCTGTGTGTGACATGGAAGCACAGAAGTTCTACTGTGTTTCCAGGGGGAAACCGATGGCGAAAGAGGGAGACTTCTCTCTCTCCTGATGGACTGGGGGGTGCTTGTGTGAAAGGAGGGTATTGGATTGAGAATTAATGTGTTAGAGGGGATTTGAATGTTAGAGGACTGGGGGGAGGAGGAGGAGTGTTTTGAAAGTATTCTATTGTGGATTGTTGTGTGTATGTAGTTTTCCCCTTCCTTTTTGTGTCTACGTAGATTAATAAAGTGTTGTCTTTTCCCTCCATTCCCAAGTTAGAGCCTGCTTTGTTCTGTTCCCGGGTCACATCTCACAGTAACCATTTTGGGGAATACACCTCTCATGGGGGCACTGGCACTGTGCCAGAGTCAATCCATGACAGTCAGGCATGGCAGAAGGAGCTGAGGACAGGGGGGGATGGCACAGGGATGACGAAGGTGGAGGTGACAGGGTAAAGGCTGAGATGGGGCAGCACGGGATGGGGCAGGCAGAACACAGGAAGTAGAAGAGCCCCAAGCAGTGATGCCAACCCTCCTCCGGCATAAGGATTGAAAACTCAGCCCTGTGGCCCTGTTCCCCTGCCCACAAAAGCTTCCCAAAGAGGAAAGTCACACTTCAAGACGGTTCCATAAACACAGTTCCTTTCTTGAGTGCAGATGTGCATACTTCAGTTTTCTTGCTTTACCCTGGTACATGAGAGCTAGATTGGAGCAAGGCAGAGCAGCCGATATGCCCTCACCCCCAAAAGCATTTGGACCCCAACCTGCTCATGTGAGACAGAGATGGTCTAGAGTCTTGTAAAACTCAGTGTTGCAAAACAAGGCCTTTCAAAAACAAGCTCATGTTATGGTCATACCCGGCAGGCAGGGCAAAGCCAGAAAGTGACTGGCACCCACACCCAGAACTGAAGGGCACTTCGCTGAAACCCTGTCCTTATTTACAGCATTTCATACCACAACTTTATGCAATCAAAGGGTTTTAGCCACAGAAAGAAGCTTCCTCCATTCTCCCCAGGAGCAGCTATCTCCACAACTGCAGAAAGTGATGTTGGAATATCTTATCCCCATCTGTGCAGAAAGCAAGATGAGGATCAAAGTCTGCTCCAAACAACCAGCCTAGTTTACGCTGTATCTCAGGAGAGCATTTTATCACGCTGCAGTTGTGCAAAGATCCGGGCAAAGATCTGCAGATTAGATGCAAATACACATCTTCTAAAGTCTAATTAGGGCTGTACTTTGGTCCATTGTTGTACATTTTCGTAAGTAATTTCCCATAATTTGTCTAGTTTTTCTTGTGAAAGAGGAAACTATTCTCTGAAGCTGAGGAAAGTGTGGTTCACTCTTTACCCTTTGGGAATTTGGGGCTGCAGGACAGGAACTCAGAGCACCTTCTGGGAGCCTGCCCTATCCACAGCTCCCACCAACCTCCTCCTGGCCCCTGCTGCTCCCCAGCATAGCTCAAGGCAGCTGCCTGCTACCTTCACACAGCCCATCCCCAAACTGAGAAGGGCCAAAGTTCGACATCTGCTCCATGTCTGTCCTCCCCATGCTCTCCTACCTCTTTCCTCCAGCTCCACCAGTTACACCCTCTCTATGGCACAGCTCATCTCCCCAGTCTTATGCTACCTCTCCCTGCCCCACCTGGTGCTGAGCCCCCAAATGAGTGCTGTTTTCCTGTGTTTTGACCCCTTGGCTCCCATGGCAGCCCTGATACCTCTTCCCAGGGTGGTGCTCAGCACCCTCCGCAGTTGAGGTGCCTTTGCCTTTTTGTTTTCTCTCACAGCCAAATCTCAGCCTCCTCCTGACACTGCACTTACCTCATTTCTGTTCCTTAGCTCAGTCACTAAGGTTCTTAGGAAAATAATTCAGCTCACAGAGGATTTCCAGGGACAGAGCAGGCACCAGTAGGTTTTGCTCTGTGCAATGCCAGCATGTGAAGGAAATACCCTACAGGCAGCAAAACCAAGTCAGTTTCTATACTCCTGATGTCAATTAGCAGCTCTAATTCTGTGTGGTTCCGCCCCAGCTGTGCTATGAACCGTTACACCCATGGGTGCTGTGACTCCATCCATGCCCAACTCCCCAGCATGAGCATGGGTGTAGGCAGTGGGTAGAGCTCCCCTGCCTTTCCCCGGTTCACAGTACAGTTCACAGTACCAGCTGCCACGCTGCATTTGGGGAACCAAACATCCTGCAGGGACCTCAGCCATGGCCTGGCCCTTCCTGGGGGAGCACGGTCTGCCTGGAGGGAGCTCTGCACAAGCAGAGGCAGCCCCCGCCCAGCCCACAGGGATCCAGCCCTGGGGATGGGCTGATGAGCCCCCAAAATAACAATGCTACATTTCTCCAGTTTCTCAGACCCGCAGACTCCTTGGCAGCAGGGTCACACTGGACTTACTGAGTGGATGGTGGGTGGCTTACCCCATGTGATGGCAGCGATGCCCAGGTAGGTGCCAGGAGAGCCCAGAGTCCGTGTCCTCCCAGCAGATTGCAGTCCCACAGCAGTGCCCTGACAGAGAGGGAGACATGAGCGTGCACATCCCAAGGGGTCCACACGTGCACCCACACTGCTACCAGGCAGTCCTGGCTCACACAAGGGCAGAAGATTGTGGCACTGGCACTCAGGCACACACGGTGCTCCCAGCCAGGTACGGCTCTGCTGCAGGAAGGACCCCTTGCAGTGAGGCATTTGGGGGGAGCACTTCACTCCTGGGGAGCCTTAGGTCCTGCGTCCCCCGAGCCCCTTCCTGCCCAGCCAGGGCTGGCATCTACCTCTGCAGTTGCTGTGCCCTGTGTGCCTGGCAGTGTCTCATGAGCCTGGGGTCGCTCGGGCAGGCTGTCCCCAGGGCAGCCTGCGTGTGTCCCACAGCCCCCAGCTGTGGTTCCTGTCAGGGCCTGCCCACAGCCCTGCCCTCCCCTAATTCCCTTGTCCAGGCAGACGCCCAGTCATCCCAAGGAAAGGAGCAGAACTTACCATGTTGGTGCCCGTGACAGCTGTCCCTTGGTGGGCAGTGCTGCTCACGCTTCCTCTGAGCGTGCAGCAGATCTCCCCTGGCCTCTTCCCCTCCCATCCCAGCCCTGCTACCAGCCCACATCCTGCCCCACAGCCCCACCTCCCCTGCCACAGGGCTTTCCAGCCCCAAGAAACCCTTCTCTGAGCCCGGGGTTGGAGGCAAACAGTGGGGTCAGCAGTGGCCACGGTCCTCATGGACCCAGCTTGGCAGCAGTCCCATGGCATAGGAGTTGGCTGCATCCCCACTGCCATAGGGACATGAGAGCCACAGGAGATGACCCACATCCATTGGGAGATGACCCAAGCCAGGCTTGCCTGAGCACCCCAGAAGGAGGAGAAGGGTCCCCTGAAAAGTGTTCAGCCCCAGTCCACGATGCCTAGAGCACTGAGACCTCTCTGACCCACTGTGCCCATGTGGCAGCACCTACACTGGTGGAGGACAGAGGAGGCTGAGGTGTGCTGAGGTCCCTCGTAGGCTGAGTGGGAAAGTGGCTCACAACCTCCCAGCTCCCATGCCAGATGCTCTCCTCACATGCAGGCATTTTGCTCTGGCTGTGAATCTTCATATACCATTTATAAACAGTTACACAATGTATTTTTCTGTCTTTGCCTTTAAGTCTTTATGAGAAAGGTCCAGGAATATGCTAGAGGAATTTCCCCCTGTCTTACTAACATCCTTTAGGAACTTCCACCAGTGTTTCAGGAACATGTCTAATTGTGTCCACCGCCCCTTGGATCATTATAATCATTATAAATCTTTTCTTACTCTATCCTGCTCATAAGTAGAATTGCCTTGGCCAGGTTTTCTGCAGAACTTACTCTGCTCACAGCTAAAGCCAAACAAGAGCCATGCAGGTCACATGTATTTTCCAGTTCCAAAGAAATTGATGCTGCTCCACAGGACATTCTAGACAAAAGGAGGAACCCATTCCACAAGAGCCATAACCCACTACAATTACTTTATCATTGGCAGTATAAATGAACCTTGTTTCCTGTCTTTGGATATCTTCCTTGAAAAATGATTTAATGCAGTTGTCTCTTTTTATGGAATTGATGAATCTGTATGTCCAGTAATTCAGGAACACTTGCTTTCTAGCAGCTTCTCTGCCAAGAGTAGTCAGTTATGGGAAGGGAAGGAGCAGCCAGGCAGGCAGAGAGGCTGAGGGGCAGCTGCTGGTGAGGAGACCAGCGCCAAGTGCTGAGGGTCACCTGGGCAGGGCAGGAGCTGCCTCTCTTACTGATGAGAACTTCTGGGACTCAGAGGGATGTTCATGGGTACACAGTCCCAGGACAGAGCAGGGTGTGCCCCTGCCAGTTTCACTTCTGCTTGAACCCAACACGGTAGGGCAGAGTGGTAGAAAAAAAATACTCCCACCTTTATTTTTGTAACTACAAATAGTTGTTGGTATTGCTTTAAAAATGGAATCAAGGTGTCTGAGATGCAGAGGCTGTTGCGCTGCAAAGACAGTACGTGACCAAGTTTGAGCTCTGTATGAAGGCAGGTGCCCCATGCCTGTCCTACATGGCAGGATGGATACTTGGCATGTTGGAGGCTGACTTTGCAAGTAGTAGAAAAAGATACACATGATAGGAGGGAGAGAAGACCCGAATCATTTCTGCTGGGAGGTGGTTAATCACAAGGAGCCCTTTCACATCTCAGGTTATTTCCAAAGTTGGCTTCCTGAAAGGGATTCAGGATGCTGCAGGGCATCCTCATGCTGGATTCCTGCTGCTCTGCTCACCAAGGAAGGGCTTGAGCACTGTGGGGATTTCCCAGGTGTCAGGATGGTGCATCCTATCCCCCAGCCATCCCTCTGAGGACACAAGGCAAGCTGCCAGCTAGGGCTTTGCTCAGCATGGGCTCAAGGGAGCAGATACAAAGACATTTTCCTGTGTCACCTCCACCCTGTCCCTCTGGACCCAGGCACAGGAACGGAGAAGTGCCTCCTTTGCTGTGCCCCAGTGCTGAGCACCAGTCGGGGCGATGCTCTCAGTGCCGTAGCGCCGTGCCGCAGGCTCTGCCCCTGGGGAAGGGGCACGGACGCGCGTTGTTTAGGGCAGAGGCTCCCGCCCCAGGCTGCACAACCTGTTCCCCTCCTTGTGCAATGTCTCCGCAAACCGCAGAGGAAGCGAGTCACCCGGCGCTGCCCGGCCGGCTCGGCTGCTGCCCGCGATACGGCGGCACCTTCCTGGGAGCCCCGCTCGCCCCGGGGAGGGCTCAGCAGCCCACTGGAGGTACCCGATCCCGCTCGTAAGGGCTGTGGGCTGCTACCGGCGAGGACACACACGCCCGGGTGCAGCCCCGCTGCTGCCATCCCTCCGTTCCTCCCTGGGGACACGGGCGGCTCTGCCTGACACTTTAGAGGCATCTCCCGAGCACGAGCAGGAGATTCCCTTCCGCCACAGGCCCCCAGGAAGTGCTTGACCCAAAAGGGTATCTCTGAGCTGCAGGGTGCCCTTGGGCAAGCCTGCCAGAGCACAGCTCCAGCAGCCGGAGCCTCCTCCTCCACACTTTTATCGGCTGCTGCCCCGCCTCAAGCAGCATCTGATAAAATCTTTCTCACAATTTCAAAGCGTTTGGACACAGGGAGACGCATTAAGGGTGCTACCCTGGCTTGGAGGGACTGAGATGATTGCCAGGATTAGCCAGGACCAGAAGTCCAGGGGCAGGTACCCCGTACCCCACACCCACAGGGACCTTGAGGCACTGGGACAGCCCTGGCTGTGGAATATAGGGATAATTTTGGGCAAATCGCTCCTGCCCACCTTATCCAGACCCTCTCAGAGATGTTTCTTTGACCTCAGCTGTAGGACAGTTCTCTGCCTCCTGCCTTTCACTGCGAAGCTGGTGCTGGAGAGCCTTCTCACTGGGCATCACTGCCACACAGCTACCCCTGCTGGTGCTGCCTGCCAGCTCCCTGGCACCTGGCAGCAGCCACATGTGCACGGCACAGATAAGGGTTTGCCAAACAGGATGCCTGGGGCATAGATAACACCAACATTATCTCACTGCTTGAGTGATAGGGAGTAAACAAGTGACTCTACCCACCTGGGGAATCCCAGGCAGCACCTCTGCCCTGCCAGCGAGCTGGGGCACAGGGTGGGTACGGACTGCTGGGGATGTGCCACATCCAGGGGCAGCCCTGAGTGACAGCCAAACCACCCTGCCTACAGCTCCTAGGAACTGTGATTGCTCTGCTTCTGCCCTGCCTGGTGCTCCATGGCACTGTGCATCCCTGGAATGCTGAGACAAGCCACTGACTCACCTGGCCCTGCCCCAGTAGAAGCCATCCTCCTGGCAGGACAGTGGTACCAGCCACAGTGGCTTGGTGTGGGGGCAGCCCAGGCACAGGAGACCCTGGTAACCAATGAACCAGGCCACCCTCACCCTGGACACCACCAGTGCTTTTGTAGTATGTCTGCTTTAATGCAGAGATTTCAACCTTCTCCCGTCTCACATAGCAAACCCAGAGCCAGATTCCTCTGCCTGTCACCTCTGTCACCCGCTGTGTGCTATTGCCTGCTCCCCTCCTCAGGCAGCAGATGAACAGGCTCAGCACCACGAGCCGTGTCTCTAGTCAGGGCTAGCCCCTGCACAGCAAAAGACATCCTCTCCTCTCGCCAGGAAATCCTGTGGCATCTCCTCCAGCTGTGCCCAGCTGTGTTTCACCTGAGACAGAAGCAACTTTGAGGGCATTCTTCACTTCTGGCAGGCCAGGATTGAGCTTTCCTCTTCTAAAAGTTCCTCTCTCTTTCTGACCTCCCTGCTTCAGCACACAGCCTGTCTGGCTCAGCTGCTGCCAGTGTTGCAGCAGGCACTCTCCTGGGTGATGATTTCTCCCCTGGGATCTTGGTTACCTTTCTGCTCCAAGGAGTTATTGTGTTGTCTATTTGGATTAGTGAGTTATTAACTGCAGATAGGGCAGGCACTGGCACAACATGTTTTAAAGTCTTTTTTATGCCTCAACCACCTTGCTTTTGTAGAGCTACAAAGTGCCCTGTCTGTACTGCCCCAGCTGTTGCAAACTGCTGGGCTCTGCCCAGTGCAGCATCCCTTGGTGCGTGATCCCAGGGACAGGGTAGCTCCATCTGAATCACTGCCCCTGTGGCCATCCAGAGCTCCATGCACAGGGTGGGTGGCCCTTGCTGAAGCTGGCTCTGCCTAAGAGTCCTGATTTCTGGGGAAAGCCCCTGCAAGAAAGAAACAAAACCTAAAATAATGAGGGGAAGGATGTTCCTAGCCACTTGTTGTTACCTTTGAAATTAATTCTTACTCCTGTGACCTCTTGCAGCTCTGCTTTAAGAGCAAGATGGTCACAGACAACAATTTAACAGTACTTCATCCATGAGCAGAAGGGTACAAGCTCCTTCACATCTAAGCAGCAAAGGCAAAAGCTCTTTTCTCCACTTTTCTGACAGGAAATTGCAAGGCAACATTGGCTGTGCTTTCCTAGCTTCTTTTTATTTTTATTTACCCTTAAGGAAAAGGACTATTTTGCAGAGAGGCATCTTGGGAGGACTCACTGGCCCGACGGGAGGTGAGGCAGGACGTTCTACTCCCACCAACCCCTGCTGCCCTGTGGGACTCAGGTGGCCCAGCCCCGTTCCAGCACCGTACCTCGCTTCCCAGGGCAGGGCGCAGCTCCCCGGGCTGCCCGGCTCCGGCCGCAGCCGGCCCTCCTCTGCTGCCTCCGCGGCTGTCACACCATCGTCACACGAAGGCTTCCCGGTACTCTGCAAGACCTAGAAACCCGCTTTTGCCCTCCAGGCGCTGAGGCCCTGCGGCAGAGGCGCGGGGCCGGCAGCAGTGTCCTCCCCGAGGGACGGCGGCGCGGGCAGCGCGCGGAGCTGTGCCGGCCGCGGCGTCTGTCCTGTCTGCCGCGGCGGAGCCGGGACGGTACCGTGGGGGTGCCGGGGCCCGCTGTGCCGTGTCCATTGGCCCGCGGGCCGTTGCTCTCCACGATGAGCCGGAGAAGGCCTGCGCCAGGGAAGTCCATAATGACCACCCCCCAGCGCACGGGCTGCCCGCCCCGGCGCCGCAGATGCTGACAGCAGCGGGGATTCACAAAGCGGGCCACCTCCTCTGGGCAGGTGAAGAGCCCATTGCCGGAGCAGAAGGTGAGGTACATGGTGCTGGGGTCTCCGCCGGCCGCCTTCTCCAGGTGCCGTCGCGCCCGGGCCCACTTGCGCTCCAGTGAGAGCACGTTCCAAGCGTCGCTGATGCTCAGCTTCTCGTAGGGGATGCCCAGCACCTGCCGCGCCAGCGCCTCCAGCACCACTATCTTCCCGCGCACCTGGCCCAGCGTTGGCACCTCCTCCCGGCACCACACGCAGCCCTGTCCCTCTTCCAGCAGGCAGCGGTGCAGCTGGGCAGCGAAGCCGGGCCGGGAGAAGATGGGCAGCTCCTCCTTGATGCGCATAAGCACGGCCTCGCCGGGGTGGGCGCGGAGGAAGTGCAGGGTGCGGCGCAGGACGCCGCGCAGGCTGGCCCGCTGGAAGGTGCAGAGGTGGTAGATACGGAGCTCGCCCCGCGACAGCTTGCAGCGCACATCCAGGAAGCGGATGCCGGCCGCCAGCTGGGCCTCCAGGCCCCAGCTCTGGCACCGCAGGCGCCGGCCACCGAACAGGCTGAGGGAGTCGTGGGTGCCAGGGATGGAGAGGTGGGAGAGGGGCAGGGCGTCGGGGAGCTCCGCCATCCAGTCAGGGCAGCAGGCTGCTGGCTGGGGCACGCAGTCGAAGGCAGCGCTGCGCCGGGACCATGTCTCCATGCCACCAGGAGAGCGGGCACCGTGGCAGCTGGCTGGCCCCCCAGAGCCCTGCCGTGGAGGAGAAGCAGACCATGAGTGGTGGGAGCATGACCCCATGCGTCCTGATCCCACCCTCCCCAGTGGTATCCCCACTGTACCATGAAA